GCTGACACTGTGACTCTCCCCGCCCCGAGGGAGGGGCTGACACTGTGACTCTCCCCGCCCCGAGGGAGGGGCTGACACTGTGACTCTCCCTGCCCTGAGGGAGGGGCTGACACTGTGACTCTCCCCACCCCGGGGTAGGGGCTGACACTGTGACTCTCCCCGCCCCGGGGTAGGGACTGACACTGTGACTCTCCCCGCCCCAGGGGAGGGGCTGACACTGTGACTCTCCCTGCCCCGGGGTAGGGGCTGACACTGTGACTCTCCTAGAAAAGAAGGCTGTGTCCTCCCACTGAGACGACTGCTGACTCGTGAGGGGAGAGTGAAGGAGGACAGGCAAGCCTCTTTCCCTCTTCTGAGCAGGAGAAAGAGGATGGAGGGGGGTTCACCAACATCAAGACCGTTTTTAGAGCAATCTTCCTTGCTCTCTTAAAAAACACACAGAAGCCATCTCAACGCAGCGCAGCCAAAATCTCCCCTCCTGACTCCCTTCAACTCCCAGCAGCCAACATCGTCTGCTTCTCCGGCTCCCTTTGAATTCTCAGACCACGAAGGTGAAATAAGTTTTCCAAAGTTTAAACTTTTATTCAGTTCTTCCCAACCTCCCTTCCTTCACATCCATAAGTCATTGCCTCCCCTCTGCTGTTACAACTGCCAAAAACAGTAAATGTCACAAGTATTTTTAGTACCTGGGCTCTCCCACATTAGGCCTCTGAAGCACAAAGTAAAGTGCCAGTGTTTTTAAAATGCCAAAACACACCTCAGAATTATTTTTATAATGGATTTCTCTTTGAGAGAGCATTCAAAATTATGCCAGCCTCTTCTAGGCCTAGGGATGGAGACAGCAAGTTACTTTAGAGCAGATTTTCTTAGTATTTGAGAGGAAAAAATAAAATTAAATCCCACGGAACAGTAAACAAGGCCAGTAAGCAACTTGGAAAGTGTATAAAAGGACTTCTCCTGGAACACAGAGATCCCGGGAGAAGGTGGATTAACTGGCATAAATTGCCCAGTGAACTTAAAGGGAAAAGACAGAGAACCCAATCCTTGTTGCTCAAAATCAATCAGAAGTTAGAAAAATTGTAGGTGTATATTAGGCTATCCTAACCAAGGCTTGGCGTCAGGAAAAGACAATAACACCCCGAAAGCAGAACTGAACTGACCAGGAAGCACGGAAGAGTCTATGCTGGTAGTTCAAAACTAAGAGTGCAACCCTCAAACTCTAGTGTACTGGAGAATCATCTGGAAATCTTGTTAAAACTGATGCTTTCCAGGCTCTACATTAGAGACTCTGAGTCAATATATCTGGGGTAGGCCTAGGAATTGCTATTTTTAACTAGTTATCGTAAGTAATTTCCTGCCACACATAAGAGAAACAAGGAATGCTGACCCAGCGGTTATGGGGCTAAGATCCTCAAGCACAGAAGGAAGCTTAAAGCCCCTTGGGGCACAAGGACCGAGCTAAAAGGTGGTGACTGGGAGGCTAAGGAAGGAGCTCCACTGTGGCCCATGAGACTTCAACCGGCGAGGGCATCAGCGTACTCCCATGTGTCTGACGGTCCAAGCTGTCCTTCAACAGCGAGCCCATGCAGGAGTGAGAGGCAACAACTGTCAACTAATCAGACAATCTAGTTGTTTCCCTCCCTCCACAGTTTGGAAGTAAAACTGATCCCTTTGGACTAAGCCCATAAGGTTCTTGGACCGCAACGGGGAGAAGGAAATATCAAAAGCACTGGACTCTATGTTAACAAGAACACGACTGTATTTGTACACTATGCTGATAATGATAAAGGAAGTACACCAAGAAATTCTAAGCAAAGAGGTTTAATTATTAAAATTAAACACAGGCTTTCCTGCACCACCCTCCTCCTGGCTAAAAAACATGGTACAAACTGCCCTGTCCCTTGCGTTCCTGCTGTTCTTATTCCGAAGATGTAAACCAACCACTATGCTCTCGAAGTATTCACTTTACAAAACCAAACCTGAGTTGAGAGCTAATGTGGGGGCTAAACCTGTCTCAGCCAGCCCAGGCCTCTGAATGCAGATGAACTGTTTCTAGCTGTCATGGAATTCACACAACCCACGTGTTGTAGCTTAATTTAGAATTCTATTCACACCAAACACTCCAATTCCACGATCTGAAGCCACAGACTTGCTGGTGTTTTAACCCAAATCTAGTCTCTAGAGGTCAGGTGGGCACCACTCCAGGAGGGGTGCAGAGGAAACACAGCAGAGCAGTAAACCTTGCTCTGCAACCCCTCCCCTCACGCTGACAAGTGGGACAGCAGCAAGTCCCAGGGGCAACTGCAACTTCTTCCCCAGTGACCAAGGACCTTCCTCTCTCTTCCCTTTTCTAGAGGGCAAGCCTACCTTACTAACTCATGTGGAAGTCACGTACGCTGCAGCCTCTCGGACCTTAAGGCACTAGAGTCACAATGCCAGATGCAAGAGGCCTCAGGCTTCAAGCCACTTACTTCAGCTCGATATTCAAGTCAACCTGGCTCTCCTGGCTGAGGACAAATGAGCCTCCTTCAAACAAAGTGGATCGGGAGGCTGTGACATCACTGGGAATGTCAGACGCAGCTCTCTGAAGTGGGCCACTTCAGGCCTGGCTCCCGCACGGGAGAGCTCCCCAGTAGCTTCTGGCAGGCAGCCTCTCCCTACAGAGCAGCCAGAGCTCAGCGAGGCAGGGAGTACAAGCGCCCTCGCTGGAGGTCAGAGGGGCAGGCCTATCACTGCCAAGCAGGCCGTCTGCCCCGCGGGCAAAGGCGAACGTGCCGTCCTCCATGCTAACACACGCTCCTTTTCCCACACTCCTCAGAGTGAAGCTGCCAGGCAACTGACTGTGCCCTCCCCGAGTGCTAAAAGCTCGTTTCAGAAACTGTCACCACGCTCTGTCCAAGTATCAAGACAATATGTGAGGAATAAGGATTATGGGGCCTAAGGCCACAGCCAGTCTTATTTTTGAGGAACAATTTTCAAATGAAGCAGGTACCCCAAAGATGACAGTATTTTTGAACTCACCTTAATACAGCCGACTATTGAGGTTGTAAGAGCAGAATTATACTGAGTGCAGAGCACTGTGGCGTACATCAAGATAAAGCTGGAACGAAGAGGCAAGAGGCATCTTTAAGTAAGACCCAGCTGCTCACTTTACAGGAGTCTCTAGGCAAGAGAAACGGCCGTGCTGGCCGTGCGGGCACATTCTGTCACTGACTGTGAGCTTCCTCTACCTCACTGCTGCTTGTACCGCAGCCGCAGCCTTGTAAAAACTCCAGGGCCGGCCCCGTGGTGTAGCGGTTAGGTGCACACACTCCGCTGCTGGCGGCCCGGGTTCAGATCCCGGTTGCGCACCGACGCACCGCTTGGCAGGCCATGCTGTGGCTGCGTCCCATATAAAGTGGAGGAAGATGGGCACGGAAGTTAGCCCAGGGCCAGTCTTCCTCAGCAAAAACGAGGAGGACAGGCATGGATGTTAGCTCAGGGCTGATCTTCCTTACAAAAAAAAAAAAAAAATTCCATTAAAGAGAAACACATGTCTATTTCCTGACCAGGTGTTTTTCCCAGTTACCCTCACCAAAACCTGGAAACCATCACTCAATCGTGAGTACTCTTTTTAGATCATATTCCTGCTAATTCACCTAACCGAGACAGAAAGCTCAGAGCACACAGACCCCAGCTCAGGTGTGCACTCCCTCAGGACAGCGTGCCCTCTGGACCAGGGTGAAGGCCAGAGGGATTCCTAAGGATGGAAGAAAACCAAATCAGAACTACTTTAAGAGGGGTACAGGTTCACTTAACAACTGCGTGGCAGCCGCAGGAACTCCCAGATCTACACTGAGGCTGCTGAGCCTGACTCAGTACTAAGGCGCCATGTCAACCTTACTTTGAGGTACCCGCTCACTAAGTGCTGGCCTGTGCCAGACCCAGGTGCAAAGGTCACCCAAACCAACTGAGTGAGGAAAAAACACATTAGAGCTATGTGGAGTCGAGGAGAAGACGCACATCTGCAGACCCTGTCCTGCCTTCTACATACGCCCTCATAAGAGGAAGACAACACGGTAGAGAGGAGTCAAACAGCCCCAGAGTCAAAGGCTGCCACTGCCACCGACTAACTGTGCCAACTGAGACAATTCACTGGAGTTCTGAGCCTGCTCTCTCAGGAAAGGGGCCACCAACCTGTGCAATGGTTAATGCAGAAATAAGATAATGTACGTTGAAATATAACGGTGTTTATCATATACTAGGTTATTGGGTAAATATTAGTTTATTTTCTCCAACCTTCTAAGCATGACTTTGAGATCAGTTCAGTAGCCCTGAGCACACATTTCCAAGGGCTATGAAATCACCTGAATCTGGGGGTTTAATTATCCTAATACACTGAGCTGATGATATACTCAAGAGACAGAATAGGATACTGAGGAATGAGGCAAAAGGACCCTAGAACAAATTTCTCTAGAAAAATTTTCTGCTAAGAAGGCAGCAAAAGCTTACCCCATCACACAGGAGAGTGTGAACTGCAGAAGAAAGAGGGTGTCGGCCCAGCCTTCAAAATCCATTGCCTGTAATACACAAGAAAGCATCCAACGTTAGAGCAGGCCCTCAAAATCAGCTGTTCCAGTCACTAGTCAAAATTCTGCTCTGCGCTTGCTCCCATCACACACACACTCACTCACACTCACACACACACACACACACTCTTCCCTGTATCTTCCCTGGACAGAGAGTGATGTTCAAGAATTTCATGTAAATGGAGTTGAACCAATAAGCAGTTTCAGAAGATTCTCTCCTTTCCAAACTGTAACATGAGGGAGAGTCTGTACTGCTCCCTGTTGGGACAAAGAAACTGCTACTTGCTAGAAGGCACAAGCCACATCCTGCTAATCTCAGCGGTTCTCCCAGATGGTAGTATTAAAGGCTTTCTCAAACATTAAAACACATCTCCTCCCTGTAACATGTGAAGGCTCAAGGAGAGCCTTAGTTACACAAACTCAGCTGAGGGCTGTCCAGGGAGAACTACTATTTTAAAACAGTTACTCGTAAAAGCAAGGTTTTTGTTGTTGTTTTGTTTTTAAACCAAAAGGAAAGGAATGAAGAGAAATGAAAGGGTGCATTGATTATCTCATCTCTAATCTAAGAGGGAGGGTCTCTCCCTCAAGTACATAATTTCTCTTGCAATATGAGTTTGATAAGCAAATTTGAGCAATATTCCACCTTTTATCTCTCTGCCAACCTGTCCAGCTTCAAGTCTGGCCACTTGGACACAAACCTTAGAGCCCCAGGCTCCAGCAATACCAGGCTCCTGTGGCCTATGAAACAGAACACGCAGCTTCACCCTCACACGCCTTTGCCTGGAATGCCCCCTCGACGCTCATCCAACTCCTGTTCACCCACCAAACGAAGACTCCAGCAGCAACTTGGTGGGGATTTCCCTGATCAAGAACTCCTTCCTTTCTGCCTTACAGTACTTCTCTCTAAGGCACTGATCTCTCTGAACTGCAAGTCTTTCTACACTGTGTCTACAGACTGTGAGCTCCCTGGGGGAAGGATCTACATCACATTTATCTAATCATATTCCTAACATAACACAGCACTTGACAGACAGTGGAGATTCTGTTTGCTATGGTTCTTTCTTTGTTGAGGCATAATATATACAAAATAAAATTCACCAATTTTAAGTGTATAATTCAATGAGTTTTGACAAATGTATATAGTCATATAACCATCATTACAATCATGATAAAGAAATTTCTACCTAAAACCATAAAACTTCTAGAAGAAAACAGGGAAAAAGCTCCTTGGCACTGGTCTTGGCAACAATTTTTTGGATATGACACCAAAAGCATAAACAACAAAAGCAAAAGCAAGTAAGTGGGATTACATCAAACTAAAAAGCTTCTGCACAGTAAAAGAAACAATCAACAAAATAAAAAGGCAATGGGAAAAAAATATTTGCAAACCATCTATCTGATAAGGGCTTAATGTCCAAAATATATAAGGAACTCATACAACTCAAGAGCAAAAGAACAATCTGATTAAAAAATGGACATAAGACCTGAATAGACATTTTTCCAAAGAAGACATACAAATGGCCAATAGGTACATGAAAAGGTGCTCAACATCACTAACCATCAGGGAAATGCAAATCAAAACCACAATGAGATATCACCTTGCATCTGTCAGAATGGCTAGTATAAAAAAGACAAGAGATAACAAATGCTGGTGAGGACATGGAGAAAAGGGAACCCTTGTGCACTGCTGGTAGGAATGTAAATTGGTGCAGCCACTAGGGAAAACAGTATGGAGGTTCCTCAAAAAATTAAAAACAGAGCTACCATGTGATCCAGCAATCCCACTTCTGGGTATATATACAAAGGAAATGAAATCAGGATCTCAAAGAGATACCTGCACCCCCATGTTCACTGCAGCATTATACACAATAACCAAGATATGGAAACAACCTAACTGTCCGTCTACAGATGAATGGATAAAGAAAATGTGGTATATATACACAATGGAATACTACTCAGCCATGAGAAAGAAGGAAATCCTGCCATCTGCAACAACACGGATGGACCTTCAGGGCATTATGTGAAGTGAGATAAGTCAGACAGAAAAAGGCAAATACTGTATGATTTCACTTATATGCGTACTCTTAAAAAAGCCAAACTCACAGAAACAGAGAGTAGAATGGTGGTTGCCAGGAACTAGGGGATGGGGGAAATGGAGAGATACTGGTCAAAGGATACAAACTTCCAGTCACAACATGGATAAGTTCTGGGGGCCTAAGGTACAGCATGGTTATTATAGTTAACAATACATTATAGTTAACAACTTTCAATACTTGAAAGTTGCAAAGAGAGTAGATGTTAAATGTTCTCACCACAAAAAAAAGAAATGATAATTATGCGAGGTGACGGAAGTGTTAACTAACACTACTGCGGTAACCATTTAGCAATATACAAGTATCTAATCAACACATTGCACACCTTCAACTTACACAATGCTACGTGTCAATTATATTTCAGTAAAGCAGAAAAATAAAAAAGAAATATTTACCACCCTAAAAAGTTCCCTCCTGTCCCCTTACAGTCCATGTCCTCCCCCTTTAACAAGCCCTGGCAATCTCTGATCTCCTTTCTGTTACTAGAGTTTTGCGGTTCCACAATTTCATGTAAATGGGATTGTACAGTATGTACTCTTTTATATCTGGCTTCTTTCACTTGGCATAACGCTTCAGAGATTCATTCAGGCTGCTGTGCATCAGTAATTCATTCATTTTATTGCTGATTAGTATTCCATCTTATGGCCACACCAACACTTGTTTATCTAGTCACCAGTCAATGGACATTTATTTGGGTTGTTCCCAGGACTGATTAAGAATAACGCTGTCATGAATCTTTGAGTACAAGTCTCTCTATGGACATGTTTTTATTTCTCTTGGGTAAATACCCAGAAAATGGGATGGCTGGTTCTTTCAGTAAATTTAACTTTATATGAAACTGCCAAACAGTTTTCCAGAGTAGCTATAACATTTTGTATTCCCACCAGCAGTGGAGGAGAGTTCCCATTGCTCTACATTCTCATCAACACTTGGAACTGTTTGAGACCACTCCAGTGAGTAAGTACATGGTATCTCACTGTAATTTCAATTTGCATTTCCCTAATGACTAATGAGGTTGAGAGTCTTTTACCGTGCTTATTTGCCATCAGTATCGCTTCTTTGGTGAAATGTTTGTCCAAATCTTTTCCAGTATTCAAGTTACTTGTCTTCTTATTACTGAGTTATAAGAGTTTTTCTTTTATATATATTCTTGATAGAAGTCCCTAATCATACATACATGATAATATATGATTATACAAATATTTTCTCCTGGTCCATGGCCTGCCTCTTCATTTTCTTACTGGTATCTTTTGAAAAACAAAAAAAATTAATTTTGATGTTGTCTAACTTATCAATTTTGTTGTAATTCTTGCTTTTTATGACTTTTCTAGGAAACCTGGGTCTAACCCAAAGTCACAACAATATTCTCCCTCCCCCATGTTTTATTCTAGTTTTATGGTTCTAGCTCTACACATAGGTCTATGATCCTTGTTGTATTAGTTTGCTAGGGCTGCTATAACAAAGCACCACAAACTGAGAGACTTAAACACAGAAATTTACTGTCTCACAGTTCTTGAGGCTAGTAGTTCAAGATCAAGGAGTCAGCAGGGTGGGTTCCTTCTGAGGGCTGTGAGAGAGAATCTGTTCCAGGCCTCTCCCCTAGCTTCTGGTGGTCTGCTGGCAATCTCTGGTGTTCCTTGGCTCGTAGAGGCATCACTCTGATGTCTGCCTTCATCTTCACAAGGCATTCTGCCTACGTGTATGGCTGTGCCCAAATGCCCCCCTTTTTTTTTTTTTTTAAAGATTTTATTTATTTACTTTTCCCCCCAAAGCCCCAGTAGATAGTTGTGTGTCACAGCTGCACATCCTTCTAGTTGCTGTATGTGGGACGCGGCCTCAGCATGGCCAGAGAAGCAGCGTGTCAGTGCGAGCCCGGGATCCGAACCCGGGTCGCTAGCAGTGGAGCGCGCTCACTTAACCACCAAGCCACGGGGCCGGCCCCAAATGCCCCCTTTTTATAAGGACACCAATGATATTGGATTAGGGGTCCACCCTACTCCAGTTTGACTTCATCTTAACAAATACATATGCAATGACCTTATTTCCAAAAAAGGTCACATTCTGAGGAGCTGGGCTTTAGGATTTCAACATATGAATTGGGCAGGGGCCCACAATGCAACTCACAACTCATAATACTTTTTCAAGTTAATTTTTGTGTTTCCTAAGGTACGAGTCAAGGTTCATTTCTTTGCATATAGATGTCAAATTGTTCCAGCACCATCTGTTGAAGAGATTATCCTTTCCTCATTGATTTATTTTGGTACCCATGACAAAAACAATTGACCACATAGTCTATTTCTATTTCCTGACTCAACTCTGTTCCAGTGACCTATGCCTACCCTTAACCCAAGACCACGCTGTCTTGATTACTGTAGCTTTATAAGAAGTCTTGAAATCAAGTGGGATAAATCCTCCAACACTGTTCTTTTTCAAAATTGATTTGACTATTCTAAGTCCTCTGTAGTTCCATATAAATTTTACAATCAGTTTATCAATTTCTACAAAAAATCCTGCTATGGGATTGGGACTGTGTTGAATTTATAGATCAATATGGGGAGAAATAACAAATTAACAATATCAAGTTTTTCAATTCATAAACATTCATAAATATAAACATCATTTATTTAGGACTTTTTAAATTTCTCTCAGTATTGTTTTGTAGTTTTCAGTGTACAGATATTGGCATATTTTGCTAAATTTTTCCCTGAGTATTTCATGATTTTGAAGCTATTGCAGATGGTATTATTACTTAGTTTCCAAGTGTTCACTGCTGGTGTACGGAAGTACAGTTGATTTTTACATACTGACCTTGTATCCTACAACTTTGCTTAACTAATTAGCTCTAATCACTCTTCTGCATTCTTTAGGATTTTCTACATACATGATCATGCTTTTTAC